AGACACTCATTTATCTTTAGTGAATCTTTCAGTGTTGCTTTAAGCTGATAATCTAGTATTCAATTAATTGATAAGTAAATTAAACCATTTTTAATTATTCGAATGGAAAATCATTTTACTAAAGTTGGAGAAATTCTCCTTTTTATCAAGTTAAACTAAATTTGTTTTAATTTTTATTTTATTGCTTTTCTTATGGTCCTCTTGGATTCAATTACAAATTTCTTGAATAGCTGGCAATTATAACCAAGAAACCAAGTTAATCTGCAATATTTAAGGTTATGAACCTTTCCTAAACTTTACCACTTTCCTTCTCAATAAAAGTACCAAAAATAAATTAAAAAATACTTTAACCTTATCAAGGCAACTCAAAATCATTAAGATTCTAGATTAAGATCCCCGAGTATTGACGAGCGGATGTGCTGGAGGCCTGCAGATGAAGGCTGTTGATAAAGTGGAAAGCAACACAGTATCGCCCACGCTTCCTACGTCAACGTGGAACTCTTTAACGTCACTGAAGCAAATAAGTCATTAGCAGGCGTGGAACGTGTGTGTTCGCAAGTTGCGCTTTCGCATTCGGCAAGAAGCCATTCAAGCCAAACATTCCTAACCTAAATAAGCCAAGTATCTAAGCAGGCATACACATTTAAGTTAATAACGCAGTCGAGTGTGAACCAAGGAGAGCAAACGCAAGTGAGCAACGTCCCTACTCGTGTGCTGTTTGTCATCAATAGCTTCAGAGTACTCAACTCGACACTGTGACTTCGCAAAGACGCATATTATGCACAAGGCGGTTCTACTTCTGAGTTAGTTAAAGAGATATGCATAATGGAAGGTAGAAAGCAGGCGACAGCAAACATGTTGAAAACCTTAGCAAATACCAAGTTTCAGTGTGACGTTTTCCACTTGTATATCGAATTTAACATTAAACCCACCGGAACATGATGGCCCAGGAGGCCCACAAGCTGAGTGTGGCCATTGTGAAAACGCATACGCGACAAGCGTGAGGCAATCGATAAACAATTTCAACCGTCCCCACCATCTCCCTCCTCCTTCTCAATTGAAGCTAATCGAGTGACAAAATGCCTCGTTTATTTTTATTTGCGTCGCCCTGATCAAACACTCCAAACAGTTAAAAATTTACGAGGATTGAATAAAACGACACCCTATACATCAACCTAAAGCATGGTATAAGTAATTATTTGTTGGTTAAACCGAAGAATTCCCGATTGTTACATGCAAATTACAACCTATTAACAACTATAGGAAAATAGGATATTTATAGAGAAATATTATGTTGTAAACATGATAAATTGCTGTGTTGCCTGACTTCTATACACAATAACAACATTAGTGACAAGCCTTTGAGAACAGAATCATATTTTACTTACAAGCATAAATTTACGCTCGGAACAACAATGAAATTACTGCTGAATACATAATACGCATTGTTATTTATTGCTTTTCAATATTATAATTAATTTAATTAAATGGTAGAATCACATGTAGGTGTTGATAATAATAACATCCATCCATATTTCATAAATTAAATTATTTCATAAATTATGTTAGATATAAATGGATCTATTTTAGTAAAAAAGCTCTATCATTAGAAGTTCAAGTAAATAATTTATAAGTCTAACAACATGAATAAAGTTGTTTCGTCGTTTTACACATAATACAGCAAAAAATTATGAGAAAAACCGCGCGAATGTAAAAAAGATGATAAATGCAACAAATTGCGCAAGTTAAAAACAAGCTTAAAAACCTGCAGCATAATTAATGAGCGGTATTAAACAAATGAGAGTTCGTAAAAATGAGAAACTCATTAAATAATTGGAAACACGAGTAAGTTTCTTTTGAATACACGTGCCCTCAAAGAAAATTACCTTTGTTAACATTATTCATGTTGATATTTGTAGTTGTGAATTCTAATTTATGACTTGTAATAAATATAATAATCCCGGTGTCATTATACGTAATAATTTTGCGTTCGTAGATTTTTATGGTACATTTGGGTGAATTGTGCGCAATTCTGCACAACTACCATGTATTGAAATGATCGAAATCCAGTCGTGTTCAATTCACCGCTGTGTTGGAGCCTACCATGTAAAAGTTAGCCTCTTGTTGGTTGTGCGAGTTGTGTAGTGCATCGAATTTCAGCGAGCGCTGCGATTTAAATGGAAATTTTTCCTTTATAGTATACCGAGTGAAGTATGATGCCGAACACAACTTGAACCTTCGCACGCGAATATCTATATTATTTGTATGTCTGTTGGGTTTTTGCTACGCTCGTTTGTATTTGTTGTTTTTTTGAACAAAAGGAAAATCTGCTTTGTTTTGTTTACTGTATTGCGAATTCTGGTTATCGAGGCTACAATATTTCGCAACATTCAATTGAACTCATTTATTCCACGAGTTTTTTTGTTGCTGGTTGCAAAAAATAATAGTTTTTACATTCATTTTACAGTTGTCAATGCATACAGTGTTACTTTATCGGAAAACAATATATTTTTTTCATTATTTGTACTTTTTTCAATCAAATAAATATTTTATACAATAGAATGTATTTATCTTTTCTATTTAATATCAATTAAGGATGAATTAAATTGAAAAACAACATTCCATCAAAATCAAATTTATTTCCTGTTGTTTTATGCATCAATAAATTTAATAACATAAAAATGTTGTAAACATTATTTAAACCTTTTGTAGAATTTACAATTGTGTGAATTGTAAAAATGCAGAATAACAAATTTCTAAAGTGCTTCTCATTTTATATTTTCACAACAAACGCAAAAATATTGCGTTATTATTAAAACCAAATATATGCTAACCTAATAGCCAAAAAATCAAATTTGAATACAATATTCACCCATTTAGACATTGAATAATTTATCAAACTTCAACTTTGCTTAAAAAATCCAACACATGATATGATGTGTGATGTGTATCATACGCTTGACGAGCACAAAATTGCTCGCTTTTATTTATGCATTTGCCAAGCTGAAACACTGTTTCGAATCTGCATTCATCCCGGTCGCCGGCGAACATGACACTTTCATCTTTCAACTTTCAACTTCCAACTTTGCCGAATAATGCATAATAAACTAGAGGCGTGTTATAAACGATTTTGGCTGTCAGAGTCGGCCGTGAAATGTGCGCAAAACAAAGAAAAGCCCCATATTATATTTATCATCCAGATTCTCCGAAGCACCACGAATAGACCAAAGTAGTTCGAAATCCCAACTGCGCTTTCTTGGAATTTCTTTATTCGCTGCGCGAATGCAAATGTAAACATAAAACATTGGCAACAAGAAGCGTATCAAGAAAACTGAAAAATGCGAACACTAATATAATACTTTACGGAGTTTTTCGCATTGTCGGCGGTCCCCAGCACGTAAGAGATGTGTGCAATTTGTGCATACGCAAATAGCCAGCCGGGTAAACATGGAAGCAATAAAGAATAGATGAATCTGAATATAAGACGTCGGGTGTAAGCGTAACTGTTACGTTAATAATTCACTTTTGAATACATTCACGTTTCCTTTGCTTAATAATTTCGGTTTCATATTGTAAGCGGATGAAAAATGTGATCGTCAACTCCGGCTTTAACATAAATATACGAATATATTCGGTATGTAAAGTTGTCAGATTAAAATATGGCCGTATATTTTTCAGTTATTTGTGAATTTTATGACAGAAAGAATTTTCGCAGAAATGTATAAACATGCCACAGCTGCATGTGAAATTTAATTGCGCCGAAGACCTTTTAGCGCGTGCCGAAACTTAAATTGAATTCGAAAGAAGCGAAAATATCCAATATCGCCAACACTCACCGGCGGTTTCGCCGAATTGGCGATGAAAAGCCACAGCGAAAACCGATTAAAACCGATAGAGAGTTTCACAGTTTGGCGCACCGCAAACAGAATTGGGAAAACAGTTCTAGTGCGGTTGGAATACAAACAAACCGAAGAATTTATATTCAAACTGAAATAAATTTCAATGTAAACTTTGCCACAGTTTGATTATAAAATAACATATATAAACGATAAATAAATGCCTGTCGTCCCGCTGAGCGTCGCACGATTTGGGAATACGCCAAACGCCGGAAAACAGCCAATCGAACATCGAACACATGGCGAATCGGAAAAAAGGTGACGCAAGACCCAAGGGACTACTCACCCGGTTTGAAGTACGATGAATTTCTTGTCGCTGTCGTCGGCATTGTTCTCACGCGGTGAGCACTTTTTGATTTCGAATACCGTATAGAACTTCGTCTTAGCAAATTTAAAGAAACCACGTTACCAAAACAAAAAAGAAAAACGCAAAAATTGCAACAAAAAATGTAAAATTTTCCTCCGTTCAAATTTATCCCATGAAATGTGTCTCGTGTAAAATTTCGGGCGTGAATCTGACAGACAAGAGTTCACTAGACGAGGCGCTCAAGTGACACACATAGAAAACACGTAAACACCCCGTTTTCACCACGTTTCCACCCGCCAGTCAGTCAGTAGTCATTCAAATGATAATTGGAAATAAATCCGTCACGTGTGCGTTAAGTTTATTTCGATATTTTTCTTTGTATCCAAACTAATGATATTAACGTAATTATTAATTAGTAATTATATAGTTATATTGTTAAACATTTAAAGGGTAAAACTTAATGCTTGGTATCAAAATATTTTGAGTTTGTACGGTTTGGTTTTAATTGATAACTGTGGCTAATAGGTTAGTGAAGATGTGTTTATTGGTGCGTTACGATTTTGTTTCACATTTCTCTCTGTCTATGAGTTGCGGTCGTGCGTCGGGAACATTGCTGCGCGTTGTGGAGGCAACCCTGCGGTGTGCCCGACGTGTACTGGCGGCAGCAAACGGCGGCAGCGACCCCGAACACGTCGCCCGACGTACACAAACGCATGCGTATTACTCGCCGCCTCCGCCGCCACCGCCGCACACGACAATACCAATGCGTAACGCGAAAAAATTCACAACACCAACAGCGCCATCGCGACGCCGCCGCCGTAGTTCCGTATCGATCGCAACTTGTAACCTACCTACACCGAGTTCAACCAAAGTCGGTGGCGGGTGTGGAAAATTTCGTCTCTCGTCGTGTTCGACATAATGTCAACGCGCTATCGCGTTCGTCCTGCTGAATCTAACTGGAATTTAAGTCCAGGATCACATCCAGTTCTTACCTCTCGCAATCATGCCATTCGAAACTGTTGAAGTTGAAGTAAAGCCGGTGAGTTGGCACAACAAGTTCTTTGTTTGTTTCGTGCTGTGCATTATATCAATGGGGTTTATGTTTGTAATAGAATCTACTAGCGCTCATTGTAGTGCGCTGCAGCGTCGTTTCTTGACACCGCGCGAACACAATGGGTCACTAGCAGACGTACAAGACTTGGACGCCGCCGTCAGGATGGGCAGCGCCTCCTCCAAGTTCAAGAAGTATTTGCAGAATGGCGACGAGTTTGCCGCGATGCAGATATATCAGAATTCGCCGGAGTTGAGGAAGAATCTCGATCCGAATCTCAGCTACGGTGATCATCATCATCACAATACGGCGCTTCATTATGCTGCCAAACATGGTAACACATACAAAACAATTTAGGTAAATGTAGAACTTTGTTTAACAATGTGTTGTAATGGTTATATAGGAATGAAACATCTACTACGAACATTTCTCAATGATCTCGGCGGAAATCCGAATAAACGTAACGCCGCGAACGAGACGGTCCTCCATTGTGCCTGCAACCTCAATCAAACGAAGAGCTTCAGCGCGCAGGAACGTCGCGCCGCCTGCGTGCAAATCGTTCTCTTCTGGAAAGGCGCCCCCATTTCCGGTAACAATGGCAGTAATGGCAACAATCGAGAGAAAGCTGATCTTGCTGCAACTGATCTCGACGGCAATACGCCTTTGCATTGTGCTGCTACGGCTGGTCTTAAACGTTGCGTGGAATTGTTGCTCACTCACAGCGCTCCGTTATTCAACGAAAACAATGACAAGCTAACACCATGTGACTTGGCTATGAAGGGTGCGCATCACGACATTGCGAGACTATTAGAAAGTCGAATGGTGTTTACCGAGAGTACTGGTGGAGGCGCCGGGGAAGATTCTATTAATGAGGATGAAAATTTAAACGAGCAAGAAATCTACAGTGGTCTTCGAAGCCAAGATTTACAGGAAGCCAAGGATCAATTGCTCGTGGACACGTCCGATATGCTCAAGATACCGCTTTTCACTGCCGAAGCCCTTTTGAGGGATAATGGTATTTAAATCGTAACTTAAACTGTAATGGAATTTATTATAATAATTTATTTCAGAATGGTCAAGAGAAATTTTATTAGAAAAATGGATGAAAGATCCCGTGCAATGTTGTCAGGAAGCCGGGGTCAAACCTCCTCCGTCGATTTCAATAGGTTGTGGCGACATGTCGCCGGAAAGTGTTCCTTCCGATGATAAAACAGATGTTCAACCGGAAATAATGGTACTATCTGTATATTGATACTAACTTATGCAGTTTTTATAACTTTGTTTCTATTTAAGTGCGAAATATGTTGTCTGAGCATAAGTAACTGGGACCAATCACTGCAAATGTCATGCCGGCATGCGTTCTGTGCACACTGCTGGGAGACATATCTTACGAACAAAATTCAAGATGGCGACGCGCATCACATTCTTTGCCCGGCATATCAGTGCCATATTTTGGTGCCAGTCGAACTGATCGAGAAATTCGTGCGACCTGCGATTGCCAAACGTTATTTACAATTCGATATCAAAGCGTTTGTTGAGAGTAACAAAACAATAAAATGGTGCCCAATGGCCGGTTGTGGAAGAGCAGTACGGTTACCGGAAGCAGAACATGTTAATGCTACACGTGGACGGTGTTTAAGCGGGAAACAACGTCAAGAAACATCTCATGCGGTTGATTGTGGCAATGCACACTTTTTCTGCTGGGAGTGCCTTGGTGATGCGCACGCACCATGTGGTTGCAATCAGTGGCAGGAGTGGCAGATGAAAATCGCTGAGGTTAAACCAGAGGAATTACAAGCGTCTTGCAGTGGAAGTGAAGAAGCCGCTAATTTGTTGTGGTTGGTTACCAATTCAAAACCGTGTCCGAATTGTAAAAGTCCCATTCAAAAGAACGAAGGTTGTAATCACATGAAGTGTTCTAAGGTATGTTCTTAGATTATATCTACTTAAAATATAACAAACCTTATGATGTATTATTATGTCTAGTGTAAATTTGACTTCTGTTGGGTATGCCAAGAATCCTGGAAACAACATAGTTCAGCCACCGGAGGTTATTTCCGCTGTAATCGTTTTGAGGCAACTCAGAAAGCAGATGAAAAGCAAGGTTGTCTTATAACTGAAGCAATGGATCGCAACAATCAAATGCAGGAAGTTTCGCGTTTCTTACATTTTTATATGCGCTACAAAAATCACGAAAACAGCCAGAAACTCGAAGAACCTTTGCTGGCAGGCGTGCGCCAAAAGATGGAGATATTAGCCTCAACTTTGGGTCTTAAACAGAGCACCAAATTCATTGAAGAAGGCATTCGGGAACTTCTCAAAGCTCGCCGCGTTCTATGCGGATCATATGTTTATGGTTATTACTTAGAAGATGATGGTTATAACAAAACCATTTTTGAATTTATGCAGGTAATAATAGTTTGAAAAAATAAGGTTTTAAAAAAAGTAACGTTTGTGGTTTTTAGAACGAGTTGGAAGAAATCACCGAGAAACTGAGTGAAATGATCGCGCGTCCATATTTGAAGACGCCGAAGGCTGTGATTATACAAACGACTGCGTTGGCGCGTCGGAAGCGCCACGAGTTCATTCGTGCCGTTGCACAGGGTTTAATTCCCCCGGAAACGCCACCCAATGAAAGAAAAAACAAAAAACGCAAATATTTAGATGTAATTATTTATAATTTTTATATTTTTTAATCAATTAACTTGATTTCTTTAAATTTAGATTGACTTAAGTCACACGAGTGCCTGGCTACGTGAACGTCAATGGCCAGAATATGATTCGGATACCGAAGAGGGTGACGTTGGAATCAACAATAGCCAATCATCTAATGGTAAATTGAATACCAGTAATTATTATTTTATTACTATCAACTATTTATATATGTTCAGATGATTACAACGTAGAATTGGTAATAGCACTCGAAATGTCCCGTCTACAAATGATCGAAGACCGTATGAAGCAACAACAAAATAAACAAAATCGTGAAGAACTTACCATCTCGCCAAAACCTTTCAACAAAGAACAAACTACTGACGATCAACTCAAACTCGCGATTCAACTATCTTTACAGGAAACGAATGACGCAAACGGCAACGCTAACGACAATGCCAACACAACTTATCAAAAAACAAATGCGGACTTGACTGTCGATTGTTTTCTGAAATCACTAGCAAATCATAAATTTGACCTGCGTAGTATTGGCAGCGATCACTGGGGTCGCAAAGAACGTGATACTTTACTCTTCAAACCATGCATTGGAAAAGAAGATGGCCGCTTTCGAATATCGGATATTCATGAACATGGATTCGGTTTACTAGACACAGATGATTACTACGAGGAGCAAGTGGATGATGTAAGCACTTTACGTAGATCACGATCTACAGGAGATTTATTTGTGCGTAGATCAAGTCGTACCAGGATCAGAATTAATAACGAACCACGTTATCATTTAGATTCTGACCATAGCAGTCAACATGATGATAAACCGGAAGATGTTGGTCGTCGGTTAGGAAAACCAAATGTGGGCAAGAGTAAACAACAAATACTCATGTCCAACATGCATCATCATACTGTGTTCTCAGAAGAAGAATATTATCAAGGACAAAGTTCAGTTGAAGATACAACTACTTCTGATTCTATCAATGTCGACATGGAGGTGTGTAACATTCTAGAGTCAGTTGATGAAGTCAATCAGGACTCCATGGAGAGTGGTGATCAGAAAGATGTTAAGACATATTCTGATGAAGAGTATAATCTTTATGTGAATCTGATCAAAAGTAAGGGCAAAAGTAAGACTGACGACGTATCCAGGGCGACGACCAGTAAACTTGCCAATGCCTTGAAGACTAAACTGTGTACCGCACATAATCTTCAAAAGACCAGCTATCTGACTCGTATTGCAGTGACCAAAAATATTGGATTGCTGCAAAATAAAAACGATGCCAATCAAAATGACATTGGGACGTTAACAGCTCAAAATGAATCAAACAAAAATCTAAGAATTAATATTAGCGAGAAGGATCGCAAAAAGGCCGGAAGTGGTACCAGTACATTGGAAACAGATAGTTCCAATGAATATGAATCAGAAACTGGTATACCCAAGTCACCCACATTGTATATTTCTGGCGTTTCAATATCACGAACTCCAGAACCAAAATCCCCTGGAATTTCGATTGTTGCTGGTAGGCAGTCGCGGTCGTCAAGCTTAAGTGTCCCTAGTAAACCCTTAACTGCTGCATTGAGTGTGTCCAGCACAAGTTTGATTGATACACCTTCATGTGTAACGATGGATCAAGGTGCTCCTCTCTCCAGTCCAGCCAAAACTAAAGAACCATCCACTCCTAGCTCCAACGGTACGGCTGCCAGCACCGGAAGTAAATCAAAAAGTGCTAGTGAACCAGAACGCGAACGTGAAATGTTTTGCTTTCCAAAATCATCGACTGATGGTGCCCTCAGCTCGGTACTTCATGTTCAGGAATCTAATCTGAGTTCCGATGATTTTCATGAAGCGTTGTTTCTGTTAGAACGTTCGCCAAAAACAAGAGATTCGTCTAAAAGACGCAAAAAATCGAAAAAGAAAGAAAAGGATATCAAAGACAAAACTGAGCCAGTGGAAACAAACGATGAAGAAGCCAGTTCTGCATTGTAAGCACACAAATTGCGTCTCGTTTAAACACGCAAAACGACAAGACTGTTTTTATATACTCGTACTACTCGTACCCTCATCATAGCCAAGATAACAGCAGCAACAGGAGAAGCCAAAACCAAAAACATGGTGGTTAATTTACCATACGATTATATGGAATATTTACAGCGAGCGTAGGAAGTTCTTACATTGACTATAAGCTCTGATATACTCGAAACTCAATACTCACTACTTTCTACTTAATCCCATCATTGATTTACATTTTATAGCCACAAATCAATAACCATTTATCTTATATAATCAATTTGCATCACATCACAGCCCCGTGTAACGGCAAACTATAACTTACCCAACTTATATATTTCATATTACTTTTAATCTTCTATGATCTCAATGTTGACAAAATGGTGACTGGGCTTTCACATTTTACTTTCAGCCTTGATCCACTTAATACTTTAGCACACCAGCAACACATCACTTATAATTCGTCACTAATTTTCTCTAAAAGTTATCAAAAACCATGTTAAACTCGTTAGCACAATGTACGAAAGTATTGAATTAAACATTTGTAAACATGATGGACGCGTAACGCGCCAATAACGACTTAAGCAGACTTAAGTAGACAATGATGCAAACTGTAGTTGTCGTGTGAAATTCACGTTTTTTAACAAACATTGCGGTGTATGATGTATTATATCTATTTTATACTTTGATATTTATATTGTATATGTATTATTATGAATATTGTATATGATTATTATTGATATTTTATTGCCAAAGACGAGAAAACGTATTATAAAATGGAATAAATATTATAAGACGAATCATTGTTTTTATTATTCAACACCCAGTATTCCTTGTACTAAGGAAGCAAAATTAAATATCATATTATCATATGACAGTTAAAGAGTGCCTTTATCGTTTCAACCCTTTAAACCCTTTGGAAATGCTTGATTGTTTTTTCATTAATTTTGATTTTTGGGTCGAAAGACAGGGTCGAACTTTTTTAGTTAAATTATATTGTGTCGAAAGAGAGAGTCGAACTTATTTGCTTAAATTATTTTGTGTCGAAAGACAGGGTCGAAATTAAAAATTGGAATTTTTAAATTTTGATTTCGGATTTGGATAGCTTGTTTAATTCTAACTGATTTATTTAAGTACAATTTTTATCTAGAATTTACCATTTAGGCCCTACTGACAATTTTATTGAAAATTTAATATCGCGCATAAACGAATTCAATTATGGTGATTATTTTAAAAACGGTACATGTTAGAACAAAATTTTATTAAGATAAAGTATTCCAAATCACATTTGCTTAAATATTCTGTAATAAAAAAGTCAGATTTTCAAATTTTATTTTTTGCTTATGAAATGTTAGGAGAAACGAATTATTCTGTTTTTTGCACTTAATGTGAAAACTAATGGAGTTAAAGAAAATTTGTTTTCACATTTCAATAAAGGATCAAATTTTACATTAGATAGCACTTTAATATTTTCAATTATCAACAGTTATGTAATAATTGAAAATGGTCAATAACTCCTAAACTAATTAAAATATTGATACAAAACTTGAAAAAATGGATTCCTGACGTCATTCTGCACATGATTGGAAAATTTCGAGAAAATCGGAGGAGTGGTTCAATTTGGCCTGTTCCGATTTTCACCTGAATTTTCCGTGATATTGATGTTATCGGAAAACTGACTTGATATCTTTCATCGCATTAAAATTCTATATCAATTGGCGTTTTCCATTTTCTTCTAGCTTTGTTTTGATTTTTTAGGCCAAGAAATAGTCAAGTGTAACCTCTTGATGATTTTTGAGTGGTGTTTGGTCAACTTCAAAGAATCAAAAAACTAAATCTGCCATTTTGTAGACGCTTGTTATGACATGAAGAAAATGCAGAAAGTTTTCTGGTAACTTTTCTAGTTTCCGAGGAAATCGCGTCGGAAAATCTGTTTTTACTAATTGAAAAGTACATTTTTTTAAATGTCATCTTATTTAGGACTCCATGCTGAACGTTATACCGTTTTCCGTTTTTGATTATCTATATTAGTTCTCGAGATAAACGGCAATTAAGTGTGGCTGCAAGTATACATTGCATTTAAATTCCTTTACAATGCAAATCCTTAGTGCTATTAAACAGGAAGTTGTGTAAATAAGGTAATTAAAAGCTGCTCTATCCAATAGTACAATTAGTTTTTAAAATAAATTTACAACCGTTAATTAAAATGTCAGGCGCCTCCGCCATATTTTAATTAATTATTTTAATTTTTCAGTAAATTAAAAAATCGATATTTTTTATTACTGATTATCAAAGGAAACAACTTTACTAACAAAATATTTTAATAACAATTTGTAATTAGACTAATGATTCAAAAGATACACGTTAAAAAGTGAGTACATGAATCTCACTGGAATAAAATCATTCAATTCATTTTAGGGCCTAAACCAAAAATGATTGAAAAAAAAGTTACTAAGATTTATTGATTAGAATTAATAGTGTGTTTGGAATCCGCAAACAGAATTTCAAAATTCCAACTTTTAATTTATAACATAAAAAAGAGAAATGTTTTGATTTTTTTGTGACAAAATCTTTTCATCAGTAATTCGACCTGAAATAATTTTAACCAAAAAGTTCGACCCTGTCTTTCGACACAAAATAATTTAACTCAAAAAGTTCGGCCCTGTCTTTCGACCGAAAATAATTTATCCAAATAAGTTCGACCCTGTTATTCGACAGAAAATAATTTAACCAGAAAAGTTCTGACCTGCCTTTCGGCACAAAATAATTTAATCAAAAAAGTTCGGACCTGTCTTTCGGTCCAAAAATTAAAGAAAAATATAGTGAAAATGGCAAGCCTATTTGAAACCGTTGCAAAGGGTTTCAAAGTATACACGTTGCAAGGGCACTTCCAATGGTATGAACGCAGTAAAGAATTCGGGATAATTCAAGATATCAAGGAAAGAAAAAGTCAATTCAAAGTTGTTACATTCTCTCTCATATATTTTTTCTTTACATACAAAACAAAAAATGCAAATAACACGCAAGTCAAAACTGGAATGAGCATACAATACATACGTCGCTCGGGAGCACACCTTCGTTGTCCATCCTACGCACCCGAAAAATATATCCTATCGTCTATCCACATAATAATTGTAACATTACACATTATTAAATAAATATTTCTATGATTTGATAATTTTGCGATGGGATAACAAGTTGCAATACGTTTCTATGCGACAATGTTTTGATAAAACGCACATCAAGCGTACAAATTTGTAAAATTCGTAAAATCTCATTATTCAAGTCACAAGAGGATGATGATGATAAAGCAATTGTCTATCAGTGGGCAAATCCGTCAAGACATCGTAATAAATACACCTAACTACTATCGAGTAAAACGTATCTCGCAGACCTTTAGCTATCTAACTATCCACTTCGGTAGGGGTGACGGGTGGCGTATTTGTTGCCGTCATCGCCGGTTTTGGGGCGGCGTTGGAAACACCACGCGCGTACGCTGGCGTCTGGACAAATGAACAGGACACCGGCGGCGGTAACTTATTAACCAAGTCATCTTCATCTTGCAAGTGCTGGAGTTCGTCAGATCCGTAGGAGTGTGAGTTGCCGCCGCCGGCAGTGCATACGAAGGGGTCTATGTGAGGGTACCGTAGTCGAATGGCGTCGACTACATCTAAGAGATTTTTCGAGTCCATGGCTAATATGTGTGCAGCACTCAACATCCCTCTAAAACAATACACATCAGTTAAATCACTACATTCACACTACAATCAATGGAAGCAATATTTAATTGTGTTAAATGCAAATAATTCCCTTACTTTCTTTGTTCTGCATCCAACGTAGTGTTACGATATACCAAAGCAAGTTTCATCGCGTTGACTAGTTCGGACATGTCCTTAGAGAGCACCTTGTGTGCCATCTCAACTTCACGATGAACACACGGTGGAAATGCCATGATGATGGAATCAACACTGGCTAGCAGAGCACGCAAATCCAAGCCGACTTTCTTGACAAACTCAAGGTATAAATCCGCCTGGGCCTGTTGCACACCTTGGCTGAGAGACATTACCGCCTTCACAACCTGAGTTGTACAATCGTACACTGAATCATTAGTACGATCAAGTTCCGCCGTCGCCTTTTGTGATCTACGTTGTATGTCCGGATCTTCACGATCTGTGAGTGTCGATGTTGACGTAGTACTATTCGCGGGAGAAAGACTTTTCGGTCCGCAGCTGCCGCTGCCGTTCATCGACATGTTAGCAAGACTAGAAGAGAGCTGCGAAGATTGAGAGTGATGCAGTGAGGACGGACTATTCGGCACTGATGCCGTTAGATACTGCGATGTTTCAGATAATTGTTCTGCAGATTCTGGTGCAATTACGCTCAACCGTTTTTTCTACACAAAAAAATACCATAAATATAATTTTTAAAGAAAATAGAATAAAGACTTACTAAATTTGTCTCAGATTCCGCCAACCAACGAGAATCTTCTTCAGATTCTTTCTGTTGTTGCAGCAATCTTTGTTCCAACAATTGAGCGTTCAATTGCGATTTGTAGTTCATGTCTAAACTAGTCATTGATGGATCAATGACGCAAGGATACTGTAAATATTAAATCATCAATAAGTAAACTAGTAATACTTTAGAGGCACACAATAAAACAAAATTGAACATTCAAAATAAGGAAAAGAAACCAGTCGAAGAACAACTTAATTGAAAACGAAACGTTGGTAAACAAATTAAAAGTGCAAAAAATTCAAACCATGCCCATGCTGTAAAACAAAGTTGCAACAACTGAATTAAGAAAAAAACCACAAACAACAATCGTGCAGCTCTCGAACCTGCTGCTGACGTTGTTGCTGGTGTTGCTGTTGTTGTTGATAGTACGGTTGTTTATAAGCACAACTTTTCACGTCGACGCCTCCAAAGTCATAGATAGACTCCTCAAGCGCGCCTACATTACCCACATTACCGTAGTTTTGAGCCAGAGGAGAATCAAAACTACGTTGATGCATAACTTCACCTAATACGGTACCACGTTCAAGAGAACTACATTTGGGTGACCCACGTCGCTCAAGTGAACCCATCTTTGGACTAAAAACACCTGAACTTGGTGGTAAACTACACAACTTATCAATACTATTATGCGAACTGTTCGCGAGCGACGTGTGACGCTCCAAGGAGTTCGCTTTCTGTTTGGTGACGCGCTCGAGGGATCCCATCAGCGGTGTCCCGACACCGCCACCACTGCTGCGCGACGGCGTACGTTCCAATGTCCCAAACTTCGATTTCATCGGTTGTTCCCCGGCTGCGGTTTCGGAACATTCTGGATCTAACTTGTGAAGTTTATCCACAGGAATAGGAATAGTTTTCAAGGATAGGACAGGAGCTGCTTCGGGAATTTGTTCGTCTTTATCGAAGTCTACAGCAACAGTGTTAAATACCGAAGCTGGTGTGGTGTATGCTGCAGGCGTGACGCTACGTCCTTCGTTTTCCTTCATAAGTTGCGCAAGAACAGCCGGATTCTGTGCTATGATGTACGTCTGCGGAGTGGCCGTAGCGGAAAAGGACGCAATCGAGTTCGAATCGACGCCTTGCAGTGGATGCCGAGATGGTTTTGGTGGTGGAGCTGCGTCGTCAGTGAAACCCCAGGACATTCCCGCAACTCGTCGTTGTTCACGTTTTAGTGTCATTTGAGCGGCGGACTTTTCGTCGCGTAGAATCTCACTAAAATAAAGACAGAGGTAATAAAGTAAATCATGGAGAGTGAAGCTTGACTTACTTTAAAATCTCTCTAATTTCCTTAAACATTGGTCTCTTGCTTGGTTCTTCACTCCAACATTGTGACATCAGTGAATACAACCTTGGGGGACAACCAGCAGGCAGTGGTAGCCGTTCACCATTTTCAATTTTTGCAATGACATCGTTATTCTTCACGTTTTGAAACGGTTTGACACCCAACATCATGATTTCCCACATGCATACACCAAACATCCAAACATCACTGGCAGTAGTAAACCTCCTGTAGTTAATACTCTCGGGACTCATCCACTTGATAGGCAGTTTTCCTTTGCTGGCTTTATAGTAACTTTGATTGTCGCCCATCGAACGGGATAGACCAAAATCGGCCAACTTTACACATGTCGTCGAACTGACTAGTACATTACGCGCGGCAATGTCGCGATGTACATACTTCTTCGACTCCAAGTAGCTGAGCGCCGTCGACAATTGGAATGTAAATTGAATGAGCGTCTCTAGTTCTAGTTTATCTTTGTTATTCTGAAGATAAGCGCGCAACTCGCCTAACTTCGCCAGCTCCATGACAATCCATACGGGAGAGTCAGAGCAAACGCCAATTAGTTTTATAATGTGTTGGTGATCAAACTTTTGCATTATATCTTAAAATGAACGAAAGAGTAGGTATAAACATCAAAATACATAAATTAATATTAAACTTACATGCTTCTTCCAGGAACTTTTCCGTTGCCTCGGCGTCACCTTTGCAAGTTTTTACCGCCACAGCAATTTGTGTGCCATCTTTGTACTTGTAGATTCCTTTGTGAACATCTCCGAATTGTCCCTCACCCAAAATGTCCATCAGTTCAATTTGTTCTCGTATGAGCACATAATCACGAGCTGACATAAAAAGACAATGTATTATTGTATTGTTTTTAATATTTATAGACTATTCTTACTTGCAGGTGTTGAATAATCACCCTCCTCATCAACAATTTCCGCGTAATCCTCGGAAAGCATCGCTTTGCCGGTCCGCGATGATTCTTTGGCTCCGTCGCGCTTGTGCGCTTTCTGTTTTCCTCCTGACGACTGCGCGACTGGAAACGAGTTTCAGTTTATATATCACTAATTCACACTTCTTAATTAACACAACAATGTCACAAATTTAAAACAAATGACGACATGACGACATATTAAAACAGTGACACTAATAATCGCAATAGTTACGAATTCCCAAATGTTAAAATCTTGTAAAAATTCACATGCGTGCGATAAGATAACATGTGGTGTGACTGACTGACTAACATCAAATATTTATGCATTCTGCGTGTAGCAATCTTTAAACACATGATGTGAATCAAACCAAAATTGCTACAAAACTTCACATAATAACTGACCTTAAAATCACATGCAATAATTACCGCATGACTCACCTCTTTTAGTCCAAATAGAATTCGGACGTCCATGGTGTAACCGGCAGTACCCATCGATTAAATCCGCGATACTTTCAGTCACTTCCACGTTCGCGCACGTTATAGTAAACGCCTCGTCGGCCCCATCAATGCGCAGCTGTAGCGTCGCCTTGCTGTTCTTATCACATTCATTGACTAGCGTTTCGATCGCGCTGATCGCGTCAAAGTCTCCCACTTTGACCATATTAGCATTACCGTTCTGTAACACCGAGTACGTGACGCCACTGTTCGGCCCAATCACCAACTCAATCGGCACATGCCACATATTCCCCATTTCCACCGAAAACCGCTCATGATCAAAATCCATATAAATCCGCAGCATCTCAAAGAATTTAAACATGCAGTCAATCTCAGTCATGTGACTAAACTTCTTAAAACATGCTTGTATTGATTTCCTCAACGCTTTGGGTTTAATTGTATCAAGAACATGTCTCGGTATGAACTTATTCATACCCTCCTCGCGCTCAAGGTATTCAAGGTAGGACTTTTTTTCGAGTGCGCTTGAAGGGGTCTCCTTGTAGAAGTAACGTATCTGCAGGCAGCAGAGTTGCAGCGCAATGTCCTGCTCAACGTTAAGGTTGGAGTTGAGATAGTCGGCGCGCACCTGGTCGAAGTAAAACGAGAAAGTCGTACGATCCTTTTCATACAGCTGGTGGAGATTATCAGGGAGGTAACGAAGGCGCAGTTCAAAGCGCCACTCGGCTGCTGGGTGGCGTTTGAGATGCGTTTCTTGAATGTGCTGCATTGACGTGTTCTGATGCAGCCAGAAAGTGTGCCCGGAGGCGGGGTGCACCAGTCGCATGCCATACAGTCCTTTGAAATAACGCGCATCGTTGGACAGACGATCAGTGCAGAGCGAAATTATGCCTTTAATGTCGATATTGTCGCCGTATTTCACCACATTGAAGCCACCATTTGGCAGGTGCACCTGGAAACCGAATTTATTATTTTTTTTTTTTCAAAAATAACGAACTACTAAATAAACTTTACACATTGACGGTATTTATTATTTACACTATAAGATTATAGGAAATGCATACAGTGTGCAAGGTGTGCGGCTGTTGCCTTGTAAGGCGATACATTATAACGTTTGGTGGTCAATTTACCTTGAGGGTAGCCTTGTCGTTGGATTGTGCTTGGAGATGATGATGCTGCGGCGAGTCGCGCGGACTGTCCATTGTCCTGCGGGCGAGCGGCGAATACCGCGTCGGTGAACCGCCGCTCACGGGGGACGACGAAGAAACAACATCACTGCAACAACAAACAATCACACATTATGAAATAACAATCACATTCCACATACTGCCAAACAAAAATCGCACAATAGTAATAAGTGGCGAATATAAAAACCGAAATAAAATGTGTGTACCTAAGCGACTTGGGCCGAACACGTAGAAACTTCCACGTGTGGCTAGCGCACGTGACAGGATGCGCTTGGTACAAGCGGCCATCTTGACAATCGCCGTTTGTTGTATCCTTCTTTTGTAATAAACTTTGCGGTCGTAATTTCGATCTGCCACTATTCCTTCGTACAAGATCCAACATAATAATGTATTTTTACACTTGATTTACTTCACTTTGATATGTATAAAGGTAAAATTTGATGATTTATTGTTTTTAAAAACATCATAGTTTAATAATCACACTTCAAGAGTGTTTCACAATATTTATCCATAGACTTTTTCGTTTGTGACTTAATCACACCGTGTTCAAATGTAGTAATAAGACTCGAACTCGGTAGCAATGAATTTAGAAAAGGTGTGCGCGTAGGCGGCTAGGCCGCGACGACGTCAATCGAGCAAGAAAGAACTCGATCCGGCTAGGAGCAGCCGCAACGACGCAACGCAACATTACGAAAGTGTATTTCAATCCGATTGGAATTTATAAAATTAATTGTATGCACAACTTTTCCAAAAATATCTTCGAAGCCACCAATTTTATACACACGCTTTTAGTCGTGAAGAAAAACGAAAAAAGCAGCAAGAGACAGGAAACGATCACCTATGAATTTTAATAAACTTTTATTTCTTCGCTGCGTCTGCTTCGCAACAATCACTGCATTTATAAATCTTAACAATACACTGAGTTTCTCACAATCTATAACCACGCTGACAGGATTCACACACTTTTCTGAATAAAAATATGATAAAACTGTATTCGCATCACTTGATAAGTTAAGTACTGTTAGAGTTTTCTTCGCACTATTTTATTTTATACTGATTTGCACTTTCGAGGTGCGATTACGAGCTTTATCGCGTGGTAAATGTCATGAGTACTTGCTCATCTCATCGGAGTGAATGGAAAAGGCGTGCGATGCACGTTTTTGCGCTTTTAAGCGGCACTCACGACGGTGGTTCGAGCGCGACTACGGATTGTGTCTGCGGAGTCTGATTCATAACATAACCGAACGATTAATTCGCGCGCAGTGAGAAGATCAAGAAATCTAGCGAGGCTAAAGCCACCACAAGTTACCAACGGATCGACGCACACAACTTTATTCCGTATGTGAGTGTTATTTATAATATAACTGAACAAGAACTACTGGCCGTGATATGATAATATACAGAATGTATTCAGAAATTTTAAAAAACAAATAAAAATAAAAACACTTGTTGTTTTAATATAATTTTATACCAAACTTATTTTTTAATCTACCTAATGATTTGATTGTTAACAAAATATAATTTAATCTGAAACCGCAAGCAAACTGTAAACACAATTACGCAGCGAACGACTTCTCCTTATCGCCATGACCGCGCGACTGAACGTGTTAATATTAATATCTAGTCATCAGCCGGCCGCAACTAACCACCTCGTACTCAACGCCTCTCGCAAGCGACGTGGTTACTCTGGAATGTGTCTCATCAAATCCTCGCCGCCATTAATTAAGCAGCGCCAATATTAGTACGTAGAACGTGCTAAAACCTTAAAAACAAAACACCGCGTCGGGCTGTTAAACCGCGCGAGTCGAAGCCAATGCTTCGTGTCAGATGTCTCACGTTAATCATCGCTGATGAGCCGTGTCCCATGGACAATTAAATTGTTTGTTTCCATGTTTGTACTTACCTACATTGGTACATTACTCATCCGATAAACATAACAAATAATTTGTCTGTATAAATCCCAAAAATAACATAAAACAATTTGAATTTTGTATTTTATTCACTTTCTTTGCTATATACTATATAGTTTTGTGTTTTGGGAAATTATAAGATAAATTGTATGCACGAGTTTAAGAATGAAAGCGCCGTGGGTAAACTTTTACAAAAATACTTTTCCAAAAATTGTTTTAAGTAGCAAACAAGTTTATTGCCGCGCTTGAGTAGTGCTTGAAAACGAAAATAGTCGCATGGCGCGCCCGATGAAACCGGAAACGATAACCTATGATTTTTTAACTGTTTACATTTCTGGCAAATGATTAAATGTAAGGTTTAATTATATTAGAACACGTCGCGCTTTCAAGTAATTAATTAATCACCAGGTTTTGGTTATTTCGGACACCAATAATAAATTAGAAAGACAATGTATAATTTTAATAAAAATCAGCGATACTATTTTACATAGTCACACTATGCAACAACTTTTGACTCATTTGATTCCTTTTATATCTGCATTCACCACATAACGCAGCCGTGACTCTATCTACATTGGTTGTAAACTTAAATGCCGTATAAATTATCGCAAAAATATTGTGCACCGCTGCATTTTCGAATAATTAAATTTGACTTCCGTCTATTTTATTGCGGCCCAAATTTAACGTTAGAAAGTTGCTGCGAGTGCACACGCAAAGACGAAAAGCATGTAATAAATGAAAGGAAATGATGGGTTTGGTGCGCAATGTCGATGTCACCGATGGATTCTTTCGTGGTGTGCGAGTCACTTGAACGTCATCGTCATCCGTCTATTAATAACAACTAACTACACCGTGGCCAGCCTGCCACTAGCCGCGAGCATGATGTGTAATGATGTCGTTCTTTACATTTTAATGAATGCATATTTATGCATGTTTACGCTGCAATATGCGGAAATTAAGCAGTAATGAAATACGCAATGCGCGCACTGAAGCTGTATAAAAAGATGCGACACAGCGACATGTTAATTTAATATTGCTCGCAAAATACATAGGAATTATTATGAATAAATATGAAGAGACAAACACATTCCTACTACAAATGACTATAAATATTAATTAAGTGTTTTTGCGATAAAATCAGTAATAATGCATCTACATGTAATTTTAATTTGTTTTCTGCGAATAAAATTACTGTTACACTAGGTCTAGTGAGTATTTTCTAGCTTCGAGTCGTTGTCCCATATTTGGATGAAAGCCATAAAAATTACAAAAAAAGCTGCGGTAACGCAATTCAAGCGAGAAATAAAACCAAGAAGAATAAAATTGACGAGCCACGTCAGATTTAACATAATAAATCAAACGTTTCAACGTTTACTGGCTAAACAAAGTCTAAACATATTTACGACGCGTTGTTCCTCATTCCACGACCAATTCAAAAGCAGTTTCGAGTTTTTTGTTTCTATTCATCGTTTATTTTTTATCTTGAGGCCGATAATCATCTAAAAAAATATGTTCCAGCCGCACTCATTACATAAAATTGGCGTTGATGTAGGTACATTTAAATAACAGTAGTATTCCAATGCCTAGACAAGAAAAAATTTCATCGCTGAATATAAGTTTGCTATTTAATTATCACTGCGTGGTATGTTTGTATATTTAAACATTTAAAAGGTCTGATAATCAGTTAACACAAATAACGAATGCTAACTAACCACGACGGCTATCAGTTTCGTTTAAATCGAATTAAATCACAACTCCACGACGTATCATGTTCGTTCTATTGTGTTTTGTTTAGGTCACAATGCGCACGAGTGCATAATAATCGCTCTGGGCACGATTGAATGCCACAGCTAACACTTCGAGAACACTCTGATTATCTAACCAAGTATGTACATTGCTAATTACATGGCAATAACAATAATCAGATTAATGTCTATTTTTAATTGCGTTAAGTATGCATTAATCAATTTAATAACGATTATGACTTTTAAAAAGCGTAACTTATTTCAATGCGCTGAAAGACTTTATCTACATTTTCGGTGCTTCCTGTCAGTTTTATTCGTCGTCAACACTTAATATTCTGCGTGGCTTAAGTGAAGCATTTCCGGTGTTAATCGCCGGCACGCACACGCATCGCCACGCATGCAAATGTCCGATAAGGGTCAGTCCATCTTATCTGCTCCTTCAGCGACAACACCAAACTTAAAATACATTTTTACAATGACTCAACAGTGAAATATTTTCACCACATGACAACATAATAACAATAATCTGACACAAATTAATCGCGATATACGATATCATAGTTTATTATTGTTGAGATGCCCTTCCCTTGCATTAGCAACATACGATGATATAAATATGTGCCAGCTAGTAAGTTTCGAAAGTAAATTAATTCAAATATATTTACGCAACAAACACACATACGTGTATTCTGTATAGTCTCGATCTAATTCCGAGCGTGTATTTACGTGTGGGGCTCACGAAGAGTGTTTGCCCTTGATTACGGCGAGCGTACACAAACCGCGAACCTCTCCTCGGTCGCACCGTAAACACAATAAATAAGAAAACATTAAACTATACGAGCGTCTATGATGCAAGTAGTATAAGAACTTCAACTACGAATCTAAGAACAGTTCATTGCAACATCGTGCATAACTTTGACTCGAAGTATTTGTATTTGCGTGGCTGTTGGAAGCGCATTAGATGTCGAGAATAAAATAAAATGTTACATGTGCGTAACACACGCAGGGGAGAACGTTACCAAATATGTATGTGAACCAGTAAACTTCGCCCAGCACACTGCTGGTAATATTTAATGGTTGGAAAGCTGTGTGAATGTAAACATTATAACCACACCCTAGGATGATAGATGATAGGTATTAAAGGGTAATTATGGTAAAAGTTACGTCAAAATTTACATTCAAAGTTTAAAAATCCAAAAATTAACAAAAATAGTAATATTTAAGTGGAATAAATTTAGAATCGGTATTTTAATTAATGTAGTAATTCTAAAATCAAAATTTTCCACTAAAACATTGATTTTTCCGCGTTTCACCGCAAAAAATCACATAAAAACTACACAAACGTTAATAAAAAGAAGCGGTGATGGAAAATTGATATTTAAGGTTTTCCCAATATCACATAACGATCACCCCGCCTGTTATCATCTATATCCAACCATTAATTCAATATTTTACGTGTGACCTTTATGAAAACAGCTCACCAATATAAATAATGCCCAACTGCAAAAGACGAACACGTCCAAAGCAGAAACATGACGCAAGCCGGCGAAAAGCCGCCCGGAAAACGTGCGGGAATATAAGGAAAACGATCCATCCAAGAGTTCTAAGTATAGTCTGCGTGATCGCCTGCATTGGTATGCGTTTGGCTTCATATCCAACTCTAGAGCAATGCGAACGCACACAAGGTAGAAGAGAGTAAACAGGAGCGCGAACGAGAAAATCGATAGTGGTCTAGGTTGCGGATGCAGACGGAACGCGCCACTGAACGCAGCCACGAACAGACGTTTCCTTCGCCGGCTCGATATGTAAATACACTGATATATTCCGATTCTGATTGTACCAGCACCACTGACTTACTTTTATCTGCACGCCCGCAGCCAATCAATTTTTGATCAGCAAACAATTTACATTATACTTATCACTATCAAAACTTCGCACAACATAAATAATTATGATTTATTTATTGCTACAATAGTTTATTTTAAAACATGCTAACTTGGCATTTTTTAAAAACAATGACACAATCAGTTGAATAATACAATAATGATTACATTGACATAATTGCAATTATTAGTTGATTATGATTATTAACTTACGTTTCAAGATATTGAAAAGTCCTATACACCGGCTTCCTGAACATGAGCAATCCGTCTACACGTTCCACCATGGTAACACAATTGAAAAAATTGATTCGTCGGTGGTAATTAACGTGCCGCACGCAACCCCAGCGCAAAGGTCAGATGTTCATGCGATTGAATCCCATCGCACATTATTACGAAATTCAAGAGCAGCAGGAAAACAAGAGAAAAACGCGAACAATTGCGTTTAGCATGTCATCGATCAACCTGCGCCACACACGCAAGAAATACATACACAAAACAACGCATAATACGACGCGAAATGAATTTATCACCCAGTGATTCACTGTCCAAGAGAACAACACTGTAAATATTTGCACCACAACGCACTGTTTTTGAATTTCAACTAGAAACAGTTATGGTTTTTGGTCGTGGCGACCGTTACCGGCTGCCAATCGCACCTAACTGAACACAAAACACACTCGCAGTAAGTACGCGCGCAGAAACGACGACACTAGCATACGATTTGTATCTTCGCACGGGCTTCCGAATGAATATTGAATAGAATCATCGCGCGATGACTGCGAGCATGCCGGGAATGACTATAAATAAACAGATGCACATCGGTACCGACGCTGCGCTGTCTGCGTGAGTAAAACACAAGCGTGTGTGCAATGCGAACGAACCCCAGGTCATATGCTCGGTGACAATGAAATAGAATAAAAAACGAGCGGCTTCCAGCGAGTACCGGCAGCTAATAACCGCGCGGAGGGCTGGTTACCAAGTGACTGGCGGACGCGCGAGTTACATTTGGTATTGTCGGTTGACGGCGACGTGTTACCAAACGCGACCAGGGTCGTCCGAAGGGGCGCAAGCGTCGGGAATAGCGAAACACGCAAAACACGCAACTTGCGAGAATAAATTATAATCGGCGCAAAGAAAAAAAAAGTAAAAGTTTCTTTGTAACAAAAAAAAAAAACAGGAAAAAACATGCAGTTGTGTTTAATTTCATTTTACCTAATTCTAATAAATAATAAATATTGTTGCATGAGTGAGTAATATACCTCTAAATACATAACTTGTTTATAATTTGGCTGTCATAACCACGCGACACAAGTGAAAGTGAGCAATAATAATCAACTGCTCCATTACCATCCCGAGAGCATGGAGAAGCATTAATATCACTTATTACTTCTACTTATGAGCATCGCGTAATGACTTCATAACGTTCATTGGAGGCTGCATGCAATAAAACGTCACTTTATTCAGATCATTCACATTCTGACCAATTCCAAGCACGTAACAAATATTTAAACGAATATAATTAACGAAACAGCTGCCTATCGATGCCTACACGTCTATAAATGTAACAATTAAACACCTTATACGTGTAATTTTAATATAGATAAGATAATATTCATATGGTTTAGGACTCTTTGAATTAAATTATGACTACTGTATGCTTATTCGGCTTCTTGATGCTGTTTTTCATTGAACATTATCAATCTTTAGGTTTTTTGTACATTTCTTAGGTTATAATGAAGTATTATGTGTTTGCGGTTGATATTATTCATTATGACGCATGGAGCGTTGTTTGGCTGCTACTGTGCGTTCAGTTTTTGTTTGATATAGTAACAGTGTCTACTTACATGTTCAATCATCCTGGATATCAGAATATTTGCTCTGGAGTGAGTAGGTTTTCCTGTAGAGGAGCTTGGTTATCACTTTATCACTTAAAACCAGCACACATTGACACTAGTTTGCCGGATGTAATCGCCCGATTTACACGGTGAGTCGATAGATAGTTTATTATCGTTTTTTAAGCGATGGCTTATCGCGGCGACGTCGAGATGCTCCCGCGATCATCAAAACACCATCGCCATTCTGATTAGACTTGACTGGAGCTGATGCTGGCCAACCGCCTAGCCTCGCAGCGACATCTATGAGTTGTTTACCAACAGAAAGCTGTATGTATCGTGTAGGTTGTTTTAAAAATTTTGTTTTATACTAAAAACGATCTAATTTAGAAGTGATTAGAATTAACTTAACCATAATTCTGTTTCTGTTAAGTTATAATTAGCGTTGTACACTATACATTCCCTAATCACGTTTAATTAGAAACAATTAAACATATAATAAACAAGATTTACAATTTTCTTTGTTTTCTTGGCCTGGGTGGATTCCAAGACACTCTGGTACTGTCAGTGATTGAAACAATGTCCATGCCAGCCATTTCAAGTCCTTTGATTGCTGACTGTAACATTATTTTAATTTTAGACTCAATTTGAAATTTCATTGGTTATAAACACACCATTCTGCCGGGTCCAAGTCCTCGTACACGAACACGCACGGTTTTTATACCTTTTTCTAAGGCACGCTAAAATATACATATTTTTATTATAATATATACAATTTAAAACCTTTTTTTGCCATAACTTACACTGGCAATACTAATTGCTGTAGCTTGTGCAGCAATATTGGTTCCTTTCCTAGTATTTTTAAACCCTTCAATGCCACAACTTCTGATAATCTTAGGAGTACCCTTACTATCAGTCAAAGACAAAATAGTATTGTTTGATGTCACTCTGATGTTAAAAATAGGCAATTCCCTAAATGGCACTCCATTAAATAGTTTGTTTGGTAAGTTTTCATCAGGAAATATATCCATTTTACTAAAATATAATCATATTAAATAAACAATACCAGAATATTAGCAGTTATAATTACTTAGCAAGAAGTCTATCAATGTCCACTGCTTTTTCACCAATAGTTCCTTCATCTGGGGCTGGCATTGATCTTAACATTTCTCTTCTGTCTTCGACATCTCGTCGTAAAATGCTTGTCGTACATATTGATCTTGAGAGAGGAGAGGTGCTGGCTATTCTTTCAGTAATTGAGATGTTTTTAATGTGATAAATTAAGTTTCTTAACATTTTACAAAAGTTATGAATTTGTATAGGTTACAAGAACTACAATGTATGGCAGGAGCAATAGAAATGGAAAGACCGACTAGGAAACTGTATATATTGACCTTCAAGCAATACCAGCGCCCCCTCGTGGTTCAAATTTGTTTTACCTTCGATAAGAATGCTTTAGTTGTTTGGAAAATATATAGGGGCCGCAACATACATTAGAAGAAAGCAAATATCTTGACTTGTTTACGTTAAACAATAACAAAAATCACGCCACTTTTGTCTATCAAAACCAAAACAATAGATAAAAACGTTTGAAACACACTATTCTGTTCCTAATTTTACATGGAGAATTTACCTGCTGCAATATGTGAATAAATAAAAGAATTAAAAATCACGTTAAAAAACTTGTTTTAAAAATTAATAATTTGTATTAATAATTTAATAATTTTGTATTGATTTGTATTTTACGTTTTTTAATATAATATTTATACTTACATTTGTAGATTTACTTTAGATATATGCATTCCACAAAACAAATAAATTTGAAAAATGTTGAGGTGATACGCATAGTTCCGACTTTCCGAGTTTCACGAAATGTTCGAGAAAACGTCAAAATATAGTTGTAATTCTTGAAATTCCCCTCGAAACGCCTGGTGAAAAGGGAGAAGGCCTATATCTATACAGACGCGAGCAATAGTAATATGCCCGTTCGGTCCCAACTTCATCGCGCCTCGCTTCACCCCCATGCCAACCCGCAACCCAGAACTTACCCACAGGGTTAAGCGAAGGCGTTAAGGTGACGGTAGCACTTTACAAGACGCGGTTTTGTGGCGTGCCCGTGTGTGAGTGTGCGGCTGGCGGGTTTCAATTGAAAATTTGTAAGCCGCTTCCCTTGCGTTTCGCATTCCGCGCATTGAACATTCACACGCCCAAGAAGACCGACATCGTCGAGATATTGCATCGAAGAAACCGCCGGCGGTTAGCATAAGTGACTATCTCAACGACAGAATATTGTTCCATTTTGATAATAATCTGAATCAATGTTTAAAAAATTATTTTTTTGTCGCATTTGTAAAGTGTGCTCGGAACAGTTCATGTCTTGACAAACAGAAAATACACCGTCGCGCTCGACTGGATCATCAAGATCTCTTTATACTTCGCTTTCATGCGTCGCCATGTTTTTGCCACATCCGGAAGCGGCGGCGAGTCGCTTCTGTTTTCAGCGGCGCTTTTAAGTCCTCCTCCTCGAGGACGCAGGTCGTAAACGCTCACAAAATGGTATATAATTTGTTTTGTACACAGTTGTACGGCGCGGTCTTGAAGTCGTTGTCGCGGATGCGGAGATGAGATGCCCGCGAGCGCACAACCACCGAGGGGTGGTTGAGATCGTGGCGCAAACAACGCGACAAACGCAGAAAGAAGAAACACAAAACAGATTCTCTTTATTTGCCGCCTCGTCGAACTCAGAAACAATTTCCCGTTGGCCTCCAACGTTTTTCCTCGTTTCTTTGACATTTCAACATAACATAACCTAAATTAAAATTTTAAAGGTTAAAACTCACAAGATGGATGCCAGATGATTTAATGTATAACGTATCATCCTTTTTTTTTAAGATCAAAGCTATTATTCAGTGATATTCTGCGTTTACAAAGAATATAATACGAATACAATACCCAAGCGTACCATTTAAACAAGTATACGAGTAACATGAAAGGAATATGCGGTCTACCTACAATTACACTTAAACTAAACATCGAAATAAACATTAATGAATTAACTGCTGACAGAAGAGCGCTTGCGAAGAAAAGGAATTGTTATTCGATACGATACCACTCGACTCGAATGCGATGTGGACAAAATCATAAAAGAATGGCACACAAACGATTTGAAAGAAACAGAAACCGAAGCCTTCATTCGACATGAACGAACAGAAACTAAAACCACTAAAGGGCATTGAATAGGAATGAAATCTATTGTTCAAATTGAATAATCAATTATGTGTTAAATCACTGAGTAATACTTATTTTTAAATTTTAATTTTTTCAGGCGAATTTTTAAATATTTACGTTTAAAATCATAGTATTCGTAATTATTTCATTATTTTATTCAAAAATCCAACCTAAAATTACTAAAATTTGAATTGAAACCACAAACAAAGCGTATACCTATATAATTTCAGTTAAGTAGATTTGAATTGATCCCAGTGGGAGTCCAATTGTACACACGGTCGCCATTTTGAAAAGGGCCGCGGAAACAAAAGGCATCAGTATGGAAAAACCAACATGTGGATACATGGGAGTCATGGGCACTCATTCCCGTTGATTTGTGTGTGCGCGCGCGCAAGCTGTGACTGTAAAAGTGGATCGTTTAACGCATGAACAAAAAACGGAGTTTCCACTGTGCGAATGTGAGCCGCCTCCCACTAGGTGCTGTCATTGTTATAAACTCTCGCTGAAAAACGCTCCATTCGACGAGGAGTCAACGCGCTGTGTTATTGTTTGCCGCAGCCAAAATCCACTTCGTCCTTTCGATGGATAATTCCGTTTAAATGCCAGCCCGTCTCCCTTGCGCCGCGCCAGCCATCAAAACTAAAAGCGCTAAAACAATACAATGCGTATTTTAGAGTCGAGTTTGAGTGCCATGTCTGCTTATTCTGTTTTAGTCTGTTATATGATCGCAGATTCACGCACGCGAATATATATCACGCGTGGTATTATTGTGTGCCTATTGTGTGTTGCATTGTGTTGCGCTGAATGCGAATTATAGGTTATATTCCGGATACTAGATGATAATACCTTTTCGTCATTAATATCACACTGCTTTGTTCTAATACTACAGCTTAATCTTTACATGAAACTATAAATTTACACACAGGTTAGAAGTTAACCTCACTTTTGTTTTTTTCATGGCAACGGCCATCTTGGATTGGTTTCCTCCCACGCGTATTATGTTAATGAAATTTTGAAATAAATTTACCCGCTGGGCGTTTTCATTTACTTTGCGCCGGCGGACAAACTTTTATTTCTTTGAAATTTGCAAATAAATTTCACTTCAAAACAAAGTTTTAAGAAAATATCCTTAAGCGCTTTGGGGTTGGTGAGTCGGAGTGGAAGTTAACACATTATAGAAAAGATGAGCGTTGGGAACAAGTAAAGAGGAGCGCATTCAAAGTTTAGAGAATTTATAGAATTATTGTCTCTCTTTATGCTTCTTTTGTGCGGTTCTGTGCGCGCGTTCAGGTCGTATTTAACGTTATATTGTTAGGTTATGTAAAGATTCAGAATATTGAGACCGAAAATCTGCTGGGGAGGCAACGATCGTATATAATAGTTTCGAAAGTTGGCGCAAAATATTCGCTTCATTAAATTTTCACACCTTCTCAACTCCCAGCAGTCCAAATAGATAAATTATGATCCGATAAAGTGTAATTATAAAGCAATTATACGCAATTTATTTAATATAATTTTTTTCCGTATGAAATTTTGCATTTTTATGATTCTTAAAAAAGTGTGACGATGTAATTTAAATACAAATTACATTTTTAGGTCCATACCTACCCCTAACGTCTTATAATGTGATATAAGAGTAGCCTGCGCATAAAATGCTGCAAAACGCATAAAATTAAAATAAAAACACTCTTTTACGACGCGACGGGTTCACGCTATAAGTGTTTCCAAACATCTTTTACAGTCCGCGCACTTTTTACCACCCTTTTTATGTATTTTTTTTTTCTTCGCGTTTGCATGTTATCGCTTTCTGACTGTCCGCATTGCCGAACGCGAAAAATCGCAACCGAAACGAAAGAAGTGTGTCTTTAAGCGAGTTTAAGGGGTAATAAAATGCAGAATCGCGCATTATTCGCCACCGTCAGAAAGTCTCGCCCCAAACCAACCCTATCTGCAAACCTACAAACGTATAAGATGCTCGCTGTACATTCAAGTGTGTTGGAATAAAAAAATTAGAAACTACCCGCTGGCAACTGTCTGAATTCGCTACACGAATACATTAACCAACTTATTGTGGGTAAAATATGGACGAGAGTGAGAGTAGAACAGTTGCAATGACATTAAATACTGCTCATCTGCCATATGTCAAGGTTTTGGAATAAAAAAGGGGTGGTGGCCTGTATATAGCTCCCCCGGGTGTTTTAGGTGGTTATTTGTTAAGCATTTACGCATTTATATCACAACCCTTGTCTGCCACAATCAAAAACAAGTTTTAAAAACATTAAAATTCATTTTGGCAGCCATCTTACTTTCCATACTCATACCTATAGTCCATAATATCCATATTAGTTACTAATATTTCTAACTAAAACCATATGTATACCTAGTGATCATGTTTGCATCCCACCTTTATTAAATCCATTGTGTTGCGATTTGTAGTTCAAGTTGGGTGTCGTCCAGAGTGAGTTATTTGATACTTGACAAACGTGCCAACATTGTAATGCGCCAGGGAGACGGATATATTAATACACATTGTACGCCCTATTATACGATTAGCTTTGTATTATTCGGGGTGTAACAATGCGTTGAAAATGAAACGCATATTGCCATCCGGAAAATATAATACGCTAGAAACACAGCTACAAATATAATACTCGTAGGTATCAAGCGGAATGATATTTTGAAATTCAGTTTCAGTTTCACATTGCTAATCCGAAAATTACAGGGTAAATGAGGCGTGATGCCGGTGGCTAACTCTGACGCCATCTTGCACGCAGATATTTACAAGCTTATAAACTTGATTTTCGATATTTTGCTACTTCCGGTAATTTGATAGGCTCTATTGTATTTTAAATTTAAAAAAAAAATGTAAAAAATCACTTTTACTGCTATATATTTATTTTTGAGGTTATGAATTGGGTAAAAATGTTTTGACGTTGATTTTCCCAATGCCCAAAAGTGGACATTAAATGAAATTCTTTAGAAAACTACATGCATCCCGACTTTTTGACCATTTTCTCATATTACGAGCAAGGAAGCATCCACCACTTGTGAAATAAAACGTTTTCGTTTTGCACGCGTAACTCTTGCAACGCTCTCTCGCCGATATAAAGAAACTCGCTCTGGTGGAGCATTGAGCACGAGATTCCATTTGAGGAGTCTCCGGAGATACTCCAGTTTCGTTTCGGCTATTGATACTCTACCTACGCTTCCAACTTTTCAATTCTATCTCTTCGACTCTTGGCTCTTCTTCGCTCGCCTGGTTCTTGCATCAAATGGATATCGTTTCGGTGCGGAGTGGAGCAGAAAACCCACTCGAAAGGCCACGAGGCACTTCAAGTGACCTTTTCTATTTCCAACTACACCAACCTAAACAGCCAACCAACACTGATATGCTCTTCTGCTTTTCATCGGTACGAAAATTATTTTGATTCAAATGCTGAATGTATGAATACAACCACAAAAAATTGTGTCTCCAAAAATATTTTTTGAAAAATAAACCAAAAGTTGTTAAAATTAACCAAAAAAATTAAATAAATATAACCACAGTGTATAATAACCCTTTTAAATTGTCAAATGTCATTTCCACTAGGACTTATTTTCTTGTCCCGTTGCACACCCCAAATCTCCATCACAATAAAATTTTAATTCAATCTCAATACTTTTTGTATTCTATAAAATCTAAAGTCTAGACATGGACATTTGTTTTGTTGGTTGCCTAACACTTGATCAGCGCTAACCAAATACGTGCGCTCTGGTTTGAAAGTCGCGTGTCGAAGATTAAAACGCTTTAAAATATTCCCGCACCAAACTGCGGCTTAAATACGCGCAGTTGACAATCGCCTGGCGTGGTGCGAACACGAACAATTAGCCTTCCGGGCGTTCGCCATGCAATTGCTTTACAATTGCAATCGAATTAGCGACGCCGCGCCGAACGCCGGCCGGATCGTCTGCGGCGGACACATAATGGCGGCGAAACAAACACAAACGCTAAGGCACAACCGCTGAAATCACGATAATAATCTAATTTCAAACACACAAGTAATAGACTACTAGTAGTAGTAATATAGAAATATACTTGAATTAAAAAATTATTTTTTGTTCAACACTCGTATCTAGATAGAAATTTGCTTTCAATTTTCAATCCCCTCGGTTTGTGTGGCTATTGTGCGTGTCTTACGCTTGGCCAATTAAACAAATATCAATTCATATACTCACCAGCAGAGATATTAAAAGGGGTGAGCAAAAAATTATATTATAATATACAAACTGATATATCTATTAATTCACATGAATTAATTCTTACAATATGATGTGGGAAAAGATTTTTATGTACTGATTTCAATAGGTATTTATTTATTATTTGATTTATCAATGTTTTTTTTTTATTTACTTAGCTGCATTTAAGTGGCTTATTAAATTGCATACGCAACTTGACCACACTAATTGTCCGCAACATTTGAGGTTAGGTTAAAACAAGAAAACATTCAAATCCAATTATTTTTTCAAATGCATTTTCGAAATATTCCCTGGATGTCAGCGTATGAAACTTAATTGAAATACTATTAGCATTCCTATTGTGCGCGATCTTCGCGCCTTCGCGATCCGCGTTAATACAGCATCGACACCACGTCGCGCTCGTTCCTTACACCCAAACACGGGGGTGTCGTAAAGGGGCTGCGTATTTCTCAATTTCTGCGTCTGTGTTCGAGTATTGAGTATTATATACGCCGCATAGATATATAGTGTTCGATGGTTGGCGATAATTAAATTTTCCGCTTCGACGCGATGCGCGACGTCAAGCTCTGCTTCCTCCGCCACCCTCTCTCGCACGAAACGCGGAATTGAAAAATTCCACTTGCACAAAATTTCTTTTCGCGTAGCTTGAAGAAGCATGCTACAGATATTTCCATACAATTCTTAGCTGGGGTGCATTGGAATCGTCGTTAGCGATATTTAAATTAATATTAAACAACGCAACGGCGGATATACGAGTATAACCAAGATGAATCGCTTCGAATTTTCGCTTTTTCGATTTTATCGGCATTGTTTGCCGCGTCTGCAAATCGGAATTGAGAAGAGTGAATGGAAGAAAAATTTCAAATTGAATTTATAAGGAATTGAAATTGAAAGATAAGTTGGTGTCGTGCAAGATGACACCTCAATTAATCAGGTTTTTATTATTTTCTTGTTTTTTATCAATTTTTATCATTTTAAAGCAAAATAATTAAAAAAATGAATTTTCAATTCAAAAATCAAATTTATTGATAAATGTTTAAATGTGGTAAACTTTTAGTAAAAAAAGGGTGTCTAAATCCGTTTTAGATCTTCCGTGGCGCGGATAAGTTATCTCTTATTGTCCCTTTGGAAGCGCCCTCCCGAATGGCCGCGCCTGCCGCTGACAGCCAAGTGCATGTCGTCCGTTTCGACGTTTGCTCCGACGGCGGCACTTAATACATCTATATAAATACGAATAGCGGGTCTGCAGCCACCGTTCGGGTTTGCAACGCTAACCGCATATTCTCGCACGTTTGCCCACTCCTGTTAACCCTACGCTGGGTTATCGCTATCGAATGTCGGGGGGTGTGTGCGATGAGTGTGTGTTTATGAGGTTGGAACCCACAAACGGATGGATACACGTCTAATATTATCCTAATTGAATTCAGTCGGACAACAATGCGCGTACCGCAGACAAAACAATTCGATATTGCTTGTGTGCGATGCGGTCCTTGATGTGGCGTAGCGTACAGTACATATTACATTTGTTATTAACACAGGGATGAAACAAAAGACAATTGAGTGGGCAATTCAATTGATAGATACTGGAATATTGCTCCAGCTAATTAATATTAAATTATTTTTGATTAAAAACTTTATTTTTTACGTAAATTTTCTGATTTTGAATTTTTTTGAATGCCGTTTATCTTTTTCACGATCTGAATAAAAGTAAATACTTGACAGTATGTGGGGCGCATGTACACCGGTATATTAAGACCCACCCTTCTTGGTTTCGGTTTTCAATTAGTTTCTTTAGAGACGCGTAGGTGTATCGTTTCTATCTGCCATCTGTAAGTGATCGTAACAAGACAAACGGATTGATAACTGATACCTTTTCGGGTACTACTTAGAAAAGCAAGTCCTCCACTTTTATATTAAAAAAAAGACACAATAAAAGACCAAAATGTAACGTTACACAATGTAAAACTTTAGATTAAATCAAGCACTGTTACATGTTGTTCTTTTTTTAAGAATCGGATTACAAAAGTTGAAATATTTCAAAGAAGAGTTTAAATTTTGCGTTTTGTGAGTAAAATAGAAATAGAAAATGTTTTAATATCACAAAACTTGTAATGCATGTGGCGTCGCGACGTTTATTAGAGTAACAGGGGTGTAAAATTGATTACTAGACGAAATAATTCCGCGCAAAACTGAATTAATTTGCGTGGAACGCACGGGACGCAGCGACCTGTTAAATTTCTCATTACAACGAACGCCACTCGAACGTTGGCGACGTAATAACGTAACGCAGGCCTGCGACGCTATTCAGTGTTAATAATTATTACAAAACATAGTGAAATACAGAGTGTTTCTAACAAAATTCACAAAAAAATTAAAACAGCAGAATAATCATACAAAAACTAAAATTTTCACGTTTTTCGCGGATTAAACTCCAAAAAATTAATTATAATCACGTACACACTGTAGATTAAACAAAATAAAATCGTTGAACTCCGTAAACACATCGTATTTGCTTTTGTGATGATTTTGACGCGTGTAGGTACATAATTTAAATATGCAAATGACTACTTCATACTCACATTACATGTAATCACGCCATGTATAGCTTGATGTGACAATTGCAATGACTCCCGGCGCCTCCACATAATTAAAAAATTCAAAAATCTGAAAATTTTTAATTTAACACCAAATAATTTTTATACGTTTAATTTAATATTTTATTTATACTAATATTTACATTGTCTAATACAATATATAATTATTTTTACATTGATATCTATAGTTTTGCGTTATTTCCGATGTCTTTTACGAAGATACTGATTAAAAGTGTTTTAATTGATTACAATTTACGTATAATAGTTGGGATTGTGATTATATCAATATTTTAAAATAGTTTATACCTAGAAGCGCAATAATGTACACTTTTAATATTAATGACTGTTTTTGTTTAAATTTTATCTACACTTAAATATAATTAATATTTTCTACAATTACAAATTGTTATTATTAAAAAAAATTATATACATGTCTCAATAATAATTCATACATATGTGTGGATAATAAATTAATCAACTAACATTTTAAATTTTATGTTTAAAGCATTGTTTTTTACACTACAAGCAAATTTTCATTCATTCTGGATGTTTCTTGATTTCAATTTGGTTTTGTATCTGGATGCGCTATTGTATTGTGGCCATAGCGCGTGTGTCGGTGGTGAATGGGTTTTATACGTTTCGAGTCGCGGGGGTCGTTGCTATTAAAAAACGAGCGTGCGCACCCCGCCAAATAATATAATTCACCGGCGAGCTGCTGGTCGCTACAGAGGTACAATGCGCCCCCAAACTCCGGCACAATGTTCACGATATTCACAAGCGACGGGGTTTTTGTTTCGTTCCCCTTTTCAGACTATTCACCCACACCAGTGAGTGTTGCCAACAATCATCACATGCATTGGTCAAATAATAGAAATTTATTTCAAACACTCTGTAGGTTTGTACGATTCAAATGTGTAATTAAATTTCGATGCGATTGTTGAAGCGGAAACGTTGAAAACCGCCGTATGCAACCATCTCCTTCAGCACCACTTCACCTACATGCATAATAGGAACGACCCCGGCAATTATCAATATGCACACTCACCCCTACTACTTGCTCACCCTTAAAATACTAAATTATAAACAGCCGGTGTGATTTTTAACCTACCACCTTCCAAATTGCTATTCCGAGTAAGATGTTTTATCGGATCCGGTGTTGGAGGCTGGAGAAGACGCGGTGGTTTTGTCTCCAGCGCTGTAGAGGTCAGGATGGACCATTGGTAGACCATATTCTTGAGGTGGGCGGATTACAGTGGATAGATACCCGGTTCCTGCATATGGCGCGGATAGAAATCTCCTGGATGGTGAAAAACGATGAAAACTGTTTGGAGGTCCAAGAGGTGAGAATGCCGATGGTGTGGGACATCCCTGGTCGGGTTCCTGCGCTCCGGAAACCATTGCTTCCATTGCTTGTAGTACATCTCCTTTGCAGCGTTGTAAAATTGCTTCAACGTCACTACGACGTCTTCCAGGGAATACACGTAGAAGGACATCAACTGGTGACCGTTGTGCATTGGCATGTGCATTTGCAAAGTGATGGAATGGTGAGAATTGTGGTGGGAAGTTTGGATGATGGTAAGGTAGATAAGGTTGATTGAATGGGTTTGGCATGGTGGAGTTTGGACTCGGCGGACTTTCTTTTTTTAAAGAAAGATTTTCAGGTGCTTCTGATGAGTTGTCATCTTCAACATCCAGGTCGCGACTTGGTGAGCGGCGTTCACGTTGTGGAGGTTCAGGTGATGGAGTGTTGGGTGCAGCGGTGTGATCTTTGAATGTTTGTGGCATTGCTAATGTCGGTGAGGAAGAATTACGACGTTTGGGAGTGATGCGAGTTGAATCTTCTTCCGAATCGGAATCATCTTCCAGTTTTGTTCGTTTTACTGCGAAACAAAAAGAAATTGTGATAAAATTTTTAGGTTATGATACAAAAAATGATAAAGGTCTATAACGCAATGTCATTAGGTTTAATAGGCCGTTGGGCGTGAAACGTGTTCATTATATCCACTTAGATGGAATGCCATGAGCGTAGGACTAGGGGGAAGTAAAGTCTAAACGCTTTGCGGATGCTTCATTAACGTTAAACGATACTTGCGGAATGCCGCAATACGAAAGGAATGTCGGATGTCATTATTTGTACGAATGAAGACATCTTACACAAGCGCACCAAATAGAAAAGTAAAATTATGTGGATGCCTAAAAATTTAGAAGTAACCTAACCTATTATAACCTATAAATTTGTTTTATATTTTCACCATGAGCACAATACAATACAAGTTTATAATTGTGTGGTGTGAAGCAATTCAGTGCACATTATCGCAGTAAATTATTCGAAGCTAATTGTGTCAATGACGATTTAACGACGTCGACACGCTTCTGTTGCGATCGTACCATTTCCTACCCGCTGTTTTACTGCCAGATCTTCACACCCCTTTGTGATATATTCATTACATAGGCAACTACACTTACCTACACATTGCAAATTGCATTGTATAATCGATTTATTTATTTATTATTCTTTTATATAAAGTTAATGTTTATGTAAATGTAATGAATGTAATCTAAGCAAAATGGCGCCGATTGAAGTGTGAATATTTAATGGCGTCGTCTTTTTTGAAGTATGTTTCCGTTTTCCACCTGGATGACATTTCCCTTCGCATGCATCGTGTTTTGCACAAATGTTGCATGCGCCAGTAACACTATTCGAGGTGTTTTAACGCTTCTCTAGATTTTTAAGTATTTCGAGCACATTTTACTTGATATTTCCTGTTTTTACTTTTTTTCCTACTTCTCTTCAACCCCCAGCGTCGTCTACAATAAACGCTCGCGCTTTTCTACGCCCCCGCTGACGCGTTTAAACGCTCTAATTGACGCATTATTCATTAAGCCGCCCGAGGCGACGATATTCTGCATGAGCGTCGAACGCTAATTAATTATTAACGTCCCCTATTTTTATACATACACACAATATTTTACGCGCTTGTTTAATTTCCCCTTTCTAGCGCAAAAACGTTTTCTTTTAAAACCGTGACGCTGGATTTTGTGTGTTTCGCATCAATTAAAAGTTAAAACATTTGCGTTCGGTTGCAATTTGCCCGCACGGAAAATCGAGACAAGTGTAGGTTTCAGTCTCAACAGTCTTCAGCGGCCGGTTGGTACTCGACGCCAGCGCACTCGATCCGAAATAAAAGGGAAAATTCAGTCAGTCCAGAAAAGCGACGGCCGGGAGTGGTCCGGCCAACTCATGCACTCGAAACAAAACAATACAAACGGCCCTCGGACCACCGCAGCAAATGGATGAATGCACAAGCGAACTGGAAATTTAATGTCGAAGGAAGTTGCACTTTAAACCACAGAAAAAAAATCAATAATAAATTTATATTTTACTAAATAAACGTTATGCAAAATTTAAAAATAAAACGAAACGTGTTGATTTTAATTTTCTATTTGTATGTTGTAACACATTTAGTAAAATAAACACGTCGTTTGTCTTGTGTTAAATGTGCGGCCTGTGATTTTGTGACATTCTCTAATGTTGACCAATGTTTAATACATTTTTGTCTCCAAGCATTAGCGAACAAACGAACACTCTACTCCTCCCGTAAATGCGCTCTCAAATATTTGCCTGATTTTAAATATTGTGTCGTGACAACCACTGCGCAGAGTGGTGCCGCTTTGATTTATCGCCGGAATGTCAACGGCAAACAAAATAGTAACCAACCAATCGGTGGTAACTCGATGCTTACTAAGTAACTCTATGGATGCGCAAACACTCGACGCGCGAGTCGCTTTCAACAACTTGTTTGCGCTCGAAAGCGAGCCAACGACGGCGCAAATCGGCTAATTGTTAAATCAACATCAACATTCAGCGAACACAAAAGCCTCCGACACATTCGAAAGAAAGTGGGAGCGCAAGAAGCAGCACCGAGTGGAAAACAAACACCCGATGAAACCCACGTTAGGAAACAAAGTACAAAACACGAAATTTACACAAACCTCATGAAAAGTATAACAAAAAAATAATAAAATAATATTCAGCACCCTTGTTTTGTTTTTCAATTATTTCCAGCGAGAAACCTTTAAAAATAAAAATTTAATTTTCTTTGTAATTTTGTTTTCTTCTAGAGTTTCATACTTTTTAATTTCTCGAGTATCATTTCAACAGGGAAAAAAATTTGATCCCTCATTTGTGTTTAACCATGTTAAGTAGATGAAGATGAACGATAACAACCCTCAGAGCTTTCACTTGACATTAATTGCATGGCAACATATGCTTTCGCACCCGCAGCGCGTAATGGATACTGTACAAACAAGGGGTTGTTGCATTTTTCAAGCCGTGCAAGTCATTAAATCCAAAGGGTAAACCACAAAACAACCCGCAAAACAAAAGAACAACTTACACACGCAAAAATAAATGAGCAACAATTAAGAATAAATACGAGGTCGATCGGTTTAAGGGATGTTGAAGTGGTTACGTGATTATTTTTAATTGATCCGCGTATTTTCCAAAGGGTTAAAAATCATTATAATTATTCTGGTGAAAAATCAATTTTTTAAGGGTTAAACTTACAATTTGGACTTGTGCTACCCGTCGGTGACATCCCCATCTGATCCGGATAGGATTGTGAACCATTTTCGTTAGCATTTGCATTCGCGCTGGTTGGACTCATGCCTAAATTGGAAGAATTTGCTGTTTCCGACGGTGGAGTATCTGGTGGTGCTGGAGCAGGAAAAAGCAAACCTAATTCTCTGGCTTCATTTTCTTCCTGTGCTTGTTGTCTACGCAGCGCCACCTGTGCGGCCATGACACGTTGCCGTTCAGCAATCAGGGTGCATTTCGCGCAGGCACAGTCACGCCATCTGCAATAACGCTTGTGACCTTTCAACGCGCTGACAACCCCGTGATTCCGGCATCGGGCACATTTTGGTGTGCGCTGGTATCTTTCAGAAGCGCGTAGGAAAAACGCTGGTGGAATTGCACCCAGCACTGGATGTTGGGACATTAGTGCAGACATGTCCATTCCACTTCCTGGTAAACTCATATCTTTTTCGTTTTGGTCACACAGTTTGTCTTGTTTCCAGAATAAAAGTTAATATTTTTCACTCATACACATATTGTTGTGTTGTAACTGTCACTATGATGATGGTGATGGTAGTGGTTTTGGTAAATGTGCCCCACGTCTTGTACGATGACTGGTTGGCAGCAAACTAAAAGTGTAGCCAGAGCTGGGCGACGAGCGCAGATCGGTTTAGGTTTACACAGATGCCGAAACGTGTGTAGCCACTTTACCCCCGAACGGGAGCGAGCGCAACAAGGGGATGGCGGGGTGAACGACGGGGTGCGCATTATGCGAAAGCGGCAAGGCTGTGAGTTGGCTACAGTGTGCGGCTACAACCCTACAGTTGCCCTCCAATCACGCGGCGAGCTTTTGATCGGACTCCGCCTACGCGACGGTGGGGCTGGGGTAGTTTCGTGTATTTTCTGTTTGCCAAGCTTCATCCCTACCAGTCTGATCGTGACACCGCGAAACATTTACATATAAGCAATATAAGCAATGTAAATGTAAACTGTACAGAATAAAATAGGATTTTATTCAATAACAACTAAAATTTTAAATTAAATCCGAAAAAATTGATTTTAAAGTAGTTTTAAAGTAAAAATAGATTTTTAAAATTTTTCTAAATTGATTTTTAGCATTTGTAATTAAAAATTTTGAAAATAAATATTTTAATGTGAAAAAACAAAATTTTGACGTCTTTTAAAATAAAATTAATATTTTAATATTTCACTATTAAATTTAAATGGTTTTCATATTGAATTATAGTATTTTAAACCAATATTAATATTATTGTTATTTTATTTCGAATATAGCGCATTGCGTCCATTGTTTCCACGTCATGTCAATATATTAATTTGATTGCCAACATGTTGGAAATGTTCAAAATGTTCAATATTGGCACGTACTCGTAATATTTCAATACCTCCCAACATTTTCAATTTACTCGCATTGAATTTATTTCGATTTTATTGCACACACAAAACAAAAATAACAAATTTTTAAAAACCAAACATAATTAAATAAATAATTAAGATTACCTTGAAGAATATTTTACATTCGCAGTCTCAACGCGTTAATTATCTCTTCTTATCTTTGTTCAGTTCAGTGAAATTATCTTCTTTCTTGAATCGTTTGCATTGTGTGCGTCGGGACTTCTAAAGAGCATTTAAGGAGGGTTAAAGATGATAAAGTAAGTAGGCAACAATTGTCATCGTGCATATGGGCATATCTTGGTAATTGTTTGAGCTTTCTCCGCTTTTCAAAGCTTTGAATCATTTTCTCTCAAAGACGCTCCAAGAAATTCATTTATTACAAATTCTGGGGCTTCTCAAATACCCATAGGGGTGTAAAATGTAATTATAAGATATAACATCAAATAAATTAACAAAAAATTGCGTTTATTCTTTTTTTTCCATTGCGCAATAATATTAGATATTCTGTCGAGTTGCGACCCGAAAGAGACAAGGGATGAGTCGGCAAGGACGCAGAATATATTAGGGCGGCGCGCGGCAAGCAAGGACACAATAAGCTAATACTAATTTAATTAAATTCTCGACGCGCCAAAGAATTCGACTCGATTTTATTCAATGTTACTTACACATCTCGGGGCCTCACACTGCGCCCACATCGCTATTATCTCCATCGTGCATTCAGGGGATGTTCCGCACTTTATTACTTTTATTACTCTTCGCGGCGACACGTGGCGTGATCGCATGAAAAATGAAACAGTGGAATTTCATTTGGCGCGTTGCTTAATTTTGAGGTTATGTTAATACAGAAAATATAAAATGGCGCAACTGAATGTTATAACTCGTTCATTGTGCGGCGTTTGTGCCTGGAAACTGCTTGAAAGTCTCAAAACTAGATTCAATGCAACGCTGAACTGAAGTCTTCGCTGTTGAATAGAATGGTTCCTCTCGCAGACACTAATATAATTCCGTTTACTATTAAATTCTGTTTGAATGCTATTCAATTCCAATTGGAATCCCATTCCATTCCCCTCTATTATACGTCGAGGAGGCAAAGACAAAACAGTGGAACAGTGAATAGTGTGTGCGCCATCCGAGGAAGGAGACAGATTGCAATGCCCTACAGTTGATGTTTCTTAAGGGATGTTCAAGGGTTTCATCGTTTTGCAATTGTAGATTAAATTAATAAATTCCAAGCCATTTAAATTAAAAAATTTAAAGTTTTTAGTTAAAAATGATTTTATTTTATTTTATTGATTGTAATATGTTGTTTGGAACATCCTGTATGCCCAAAACAGTATTATAATGTTTGCGAGCATTGTTTGTCCCATTCTCTATGATTTCAATGCTGTGTATTGCGTTAAAACAGAGTATCTGGAGTTGAGAGTTGAATTCGCAAATGAATATCTCCTATTCTCGACTGGCACGAATTCTGGCAGCAGCAGCAGTCGGAGCTGGAAGTTAGTTTCCAACTCAGTTGCCAGGAAACAAATACAAACGGTGTGCGAACAAGACGCCGACGAATTGTAAATTGTGTAGTAAACTTCATAGTAAATCAAGAATCAAGCGAGATGCAGCATTTGAGTAATAAGCAGAAGCAAATAAATCAACGACAAGATTGAAATATTCTTGAAATTCATTTTTTTATTTTCCAAAAAAACTTATTAATGTATGCAACCAAATATACTAAACAGTTATGTGGCGCGTTCCGCATACTTTCACATTTTTGGCCTTCATCTTCGTTGACATTTACATTAACACGTTATGCGTGTCCCACGCAAAGCCCATCATTTACATTTAATTTCAGCTACAAGTAAATGAAATATTTGCCAAGTCTCACACTCATACTCACTCATCTTTAAACATAAAACGCAATATGACCTCCTCCTCCTTCTTCAGACATCTTGAATTCAGGAAATGAATTCGGTAATAAGAGCAAGTGCGACTAAATCCACTGTCGCCTACAATATGCATGCAGATTGTGATCAATATTATGACATGAATCCATGAGTGAATAGTGATACTACATGGATAGCTCTTTGTACCTCGCATAATGTAGATTGAACTGATTTTGATTTGCTTGCCTGGAATATTGTCGAGTGGTGTGTGTTTGTGTTTTGTTTGCGTTCTTCTTTCTCTGCGCTTTCGAAGGCACTCATCCCTTGTATTGATGTTTGCGGTTCAACAGGTGGGACACTCGTTTATCTTACTTACTCATCTTGTGCAAACAAACAAACACATCCACATTGGATATTCGCAGCTAAGTAGAACCTAGTGAATTTGTCACATTTGCTAATTTTGAAATTGGGGAGGTACGTAACGTGATGTCGTATTACCTACATTTTACAGTGTTTAATATTGAAAGATCAAAGATAGCAGAAAGCGAGAAGTTGTTGAGTGTTGCTGAGGGTGAAAACTGAGGTTGACGAGTGTGTGAACCGTGAAAACGTCCCCAAAGGGAGAAATCTTTGCATGGGTTGGGCTCCCACGCAATTAGGCACCCTCTTTTCAGCCACCAGACGAGAGCAAACAAACTGAACAATTTCGTCAAGAGTTAACTTATCTGTTTATCTTGCAAAGGGTAACAAGTAGTTTTACAGTGTCTGTTTGTGGAATGATTTTGCTTGAAGCTAAAAAGTAAAATGAGCAAATCATTTACAAAAACACACAACAGCGCCATCTGTTTATATCAAAGTAAACTATTAAAATTACATAGAACGTAGGTTATGGTGTATAATAATTTGCCTAACTTAAAATGCGTTAAATCAAAGTTTATAATAAAAACTGAATCGCTGCGAGTTAAATTTCTCTCCAAAGATAAAAAAAAAATGGAACAAAAGCCAGGCGCATGTTTAATAGTGTTAAATGCGCCCACACATATCACGAAGGTTTTATGCAGTCCGGTACAGTCCAATATTTTTTATCTAAAAATCCGTGCGCCGACGAGTGTCGATGACGGGAGGACGAACTGACCGCCGCCGCAAAGTTCGCCTCCTTTTTCTATTTTTTTTTTTATTATTCCAGCAGCAGTGCGGACTTCTCCGCCTCTGTTCCGCCCGTATCCTTTCATGGCGCGCCATCGAGAGGGATATAAACGTTTCCCATTTTTATTTATTTTTTTCGGGTACATACCAAACGGCATTTTCATATTTTCATGATTCCATATTTTCATATAGATAGCGATATAGAGAGTAAGAGAATAATTCATTTTCCACGCTTGTGCACCCACCACCGCCACCCCTTAGCAGACCGCATACATTTTTCATTTTCCGGAAGAGAATTTTTCATATTTTTTGCCTTTCATAATGGTAATTGATATAACGCTTCGGTTAGGCAACCCAACTAGCCGCTGTGGTCAGAAGCGATCAAACGCACTCGATTTGCGTGAAATATATACGAGAATGTGCTTGGACGGCATAAAATCCGCAGAGATAATAAAAAACCTCGGAGGTTTAAATTCACTTTGTCTCTTGCAAACAATCAAAACTCATACTTATCTAAATTAATCATTTTATATTTAGGATAGTTTATACACAATGGCATTAAAAAAACATAAAACAATAAATACTATTTGTTTGTTGCTTAAAGCTTACACTTAATGGTGGTAATAGGCAGGGGCGGAGTAGGCAACTGGGGCGGCAGCTACTTTAGCCACAGCTGGGGCGTAAGAGGCGTAGCTTACAGATGGAGCTGCTGAATATCCATGGTGGACTGGTGCGTGGGCGTACTGCACAGCTGGCGCGGCGTGAGCGTATTGGACAGCTGGAGCAGCGTAGGCAACCTTAGCTACTGGAGCAGCATAGGCAACTGGTGCAGCGTATTTAGCTACTGGCGCAGCGTAAGCAACTGGAGCAGCGGCGTATTTAGCTACTGGCGCAGCATAGGCAACCGGTGCGGCAACGGCTTTCACAGCCAGTGGCTCACGGTGAACAACAGCGTTGAAACCATTGTGAGCATCAGCGGTGTATTCAACAGTGCGCTTGGTGCCATCAGCATCAATGAGGGAATAGGAACCGTGGACGGCATCACCACGACGAGATTCAGTTTGGGTCTTGCTGTCACCAGTGTGTGGGTCATTGACGGAATAACCGAAGTCATAAGCTGCTGGGGCCTCAGCGACAATAGTTTTGGCAACAGGGGCGTAGGCAACTGGCGCAGCGGCGTAT